TATCTTGAAATTCGTAATATTTGATCGAACAGCACAGCCAGTGAAACGCGCGCGTTTGCAGATCTACAAAAATCACTTTCATTTCATTTTTAGATAATTCTTTTTTGTAATTTTGCTTCATTTCGTATAAGATGCTTTCAAGGAGATTATAATTGAGTTGGTAATTGCATATGAATATTTATTTTCCGTTTAGTTTATAACTAATTGATAAATAAGTTTCTAAAAAAAATTAAAAAAAAATAATCTTTACATAATTTATATATTGGCCTGGATAGTGGACACTTTTTTTTTTTTTAATCCATATTAAATAATTTTATATCTTTTATTAAATATGAAGTTGTGGGGGGGAAACAATAAAAAAAAATACAAACTACACGTTCCTAAAATTTTAATTTTATAATATCCAAATTCATAATTATAATATAATAGAGATAAAACACAAGCCCAATTACCATTAATGATTATAATTTCCTTAAACAGAAAAACCTTTACACTATTTGCTTAATTATAATCAATGAAATTAAAGTAGCCACTCATTCAACGCAATTATTGCAAACATACGCAGAAAGTATTATATCTTACAGTAAATACAATTCAACGGCTTTGCTATGCAATATAATATTTCTCAGAGTGTGTGTAAGCACAAATACAAGATAAAACGTTGAATGAAATTATCATACTTAGCTTTTTTCTTTTTCTATATTTCTTTACCTGTAACACAGCCATGAACATCGTTCAAAGCCTACGCTAGTCGTCTTCTTTTTAATACCCTTTCTTTATTTGTTTTTCAACATTTTCAACATATGACTTTATTATAAAATTAATAAGAATAAACGCAAACAGAAGCGAGTACATAATAAGTCGAGGGTCTTCGTAAAATTGGCGATTCGCATTCATTATTATTAGTATTAATTTTTTCATTATCAGAGAACAATACAAAAATTACAGTTATATATTATTACTTATGTCACCAATGTGCATTTCGTTTATTGTGAAGTTAAATTATACATTCGCGCATTCATACACACGCACACATGCTCGCATATGCGTTTATACTGCATGTGTGTATAATCTCTTTGTTGTCTCTCTCTCTCTCTCTCTCTCTCTCTCTCTCTCTCTCTCTCTCTCTATCTATCTATCTATCTATATATCTATCTATCTCTCTATCTTACCGCGTCCATGCATGTGTTTGTTAGTGAGGAACGCACGCACAAATGTAAATAATAATGTATTTTTCTGAATATACATTCTGAAAAAAATCCTTTTAAATAATTTTAAAATATTAACTAATCTTAGATTTCTTCTTAAAGCATTAACTAATTATTTGCTTTCTATCATTATTCATATACACGAAACATTTATTAGCAATTTTTGTTCTTTCGCAAACTACATAAATTTGTATCTCATTTAAATAAAATATATTTCTATTAGAAATACTTAGTATTTTTTTTTTTTTTTTTTTTTTTTTTTTTTTTTTTTTTTTTTAATACATTTAACAAAAATCGTATATATCGTATATAAGCCACGTCTGCTCGGTAAAACAAATTTTTAATTAAAATGAAACATTTTTACAAATTCTCGTTCAGATATATGTAGTAGGCGCATATATCTCAGTCATAATAATGAAATCACCCTTTTATTTTATAAACGTGAATGTTGTACTTGTAATAGACAATTAAAAGATTACATATTAGTTTTTGGCTTCATTGATCGGCAGTCAACTACACTATCAATAATAGCATTCATCTAACAAATGATAAATTTAAAATGTTGAAAGTTTTTGTGTTTTTTTTTTAAATGGAAAAAATCAACTTATGTTCTAAAATATATTCTTAAAAATTCTATACCCAAGATTAATATTATTTAAATAAGACAAACAAATCGTAGTATACGCTGTGCATAAAATTTCATTACTTGGTATCATAAATTTTATTCAACACACTATTTCTTCTTGTGAGTATCACCTTCAAATAAAACAGAATAATGCAATCTAAATAGATAAAAAAATTCGCAGTGTTTATATTATATTTTTATTATAATAGAACATAATGTCGATAATGTTTAGAGCCTACTTAAAGTAAAAACTACAAACCTGTAATGACTTTCTCAATAAATACAGTTTACACATAAACATATATATATATATATATATATATATATATATATATATACAAATATAAGTAAGGGGTACACAGGTATTATAACAATTGTTTATTATGAAATAAACAATTTCAGGCAAATATATGGTACATATGGTTGGAGTTGTACTTTGTTCACAATCGTTTCGAGCTTTTAAATAGTTTTTGCGGCAAGTGAGATAATTGTAAATGCTTTGCCAGTTGCAACAGGATATCAAAGAGTGAAATTATATGAAAAACGCAGCAAACAATTATACAAGTATTTTTTTGCGATATTCGCATACAAATGAAAAGACATTTGTTACTTATATACTAATCCATCTTTTGCTACGTTAATAGTAGCTTCATATCAAATTTTGTAAAAAAAGAAAAATGTCAATGGCTTAGAGAAAATCGTCGTGCTTGTAATAATGACGAATAGTAGGTTCAAAGCATTCTTCGAATGAATTATCTTTACTCTTCTACTTGTTTGTTATTTAAAATTTATTAGACATTATACGGTAAACGTAAAGATATTCTTATATCTAAACGTAAAGTATTTTTCATTTCAAAATAAAAGAATCTTTTAAGTATTGGTATAGTCGTTTTTCAGTACTTTAACAGTTCAGAAATCTTAAAATTTTAATTTCCTTATGTCTTGTAACGATCAACACTTAAGAACTATAAATATCAACATTGATTCGTATTACCAAACTAGGTTTTGGTACATTTTTACCATTTTTACAAATATCATTGTACCAAGAAAAACCTACAGTTGAGTCAATTATTTCCGACTTTGCAACTCCTCGTTAAAGGGATGGAATTTACTTGTACCGTACTTATTAGAATATAAATTTAATATATAACAAGGTAATTTCGTCAATGTTAATGCATTACTACCAATTCTTCAACCACGCACATTCAAATATTTTTCATTTATGCATCATTTTATCATAAAATAAAATGTACTTTAAAAATAAAATAAAATAAATTGATGGCATTATAAATTTACAGATATTTTTTCATAATTATGTCCTTATATCTAGAAATAGAATTAATATAAATATTATATATTTATTCATACAGAGAAATAATTAAATAAAAATGTAATATTTTGTATTAATTGATATTCAAATTATTTATCGATAAGTTGTGGAATATCGTCTATTCGATTACTCATTCAATTCTACTCATTGAGAAAATTATTTACCAAATGAAAAACATAAGTCGTTTATTTACAATCAAATTATACATTTTTATGAGTTAATCGTTAAATACAATTTTTCTAAATAAATATGCTTGTATGAAATTTACAATCTCAATTGCAGTAACTGTGAAGAAAATATAAGTACTACAGTTACTTTACATTATTAATTAAATGTATTGTGAATTTAATATTATTAGTCTATATAAAAATGAATCATCCATCAAATTCATTTAAAATTGTTGTTAATAGATTTATTAACTATTAAGTATTAAAATTATTATCATTTTAAAGCTGGCAACCTTATAATGTAAATAATTCTAATGGCTCGTACGAAGGTATAAGAACAATTAAATTAAAAAAATTTTAAATTAATAAATATGTTTATCTCTTCATATTCAATTAATAACTTTTAAAACTATTATTAGTTTTAATTTACCAATTCTTAATAATTATTGATTAAATAATACATTTACATAACAAAATACAGATTAATAACTAAATGGCATGCAAACTAGCTTTTAAGGCATTGGATTGTTAGCAGTAATTAACAGTTACAATGAAGTTATTTACCAAGTTATAGTTTATAGAAGTTTATAAAATCAGATTTGTAATCCTTTAACTCTTGATTTACATAAAATTATAAATTCTTATAATTGTGAAATTCCTATATTTTTGTATTTTTTAGTAGAAATTTTTATCATCTCTTTTTAAATTTCATCCATTGTTAATATATGACAATGAATAGCACTTAAATTTTACCCGTCGCAGCAGTTATATTATTACACACATAAAAAACATTCTCCTTGCATAAAATTGATGAATGAGTTTGGATGAGGAAAGTACCTCTCTCGAAATATATATCGAAATCGATCTTATATTCGAATGTCTATTCATCACAAAAAAATTATGTATTGTTTTAAGATGTTCATGATAATATTGTGAACAATTTTTTACCATGAATGGTATATGAGAACCATAACCATAATAATGGCATATGAAATATTTTAAATTCCTTTTATTTTAATGAAGAAAAACTTTAACGGTACGCTTTCAATGTTTTCACTAAAAGTTGTATAATACGTGCATAATTGTGTATATGTTATGTATGCGTTTGCGCGCGCGTGACGCGTGTGGGATGAATATCATTTACATGTTTACACGTGGGCACGTGCACGTACGCGTGTGACGAATTAAATTATTAAAAAATAATGATAATATAACAAAACAATTTTCTCTTATTAAAAAAAAAAACAGAATCCATAATATTTTCTAGGATGATTTTAATAAAAGAGTAATTATATTGTCATTTTGAATAAGGTGGTGCAAAATTATTTTTAAATACACGAGGAAATCATGATGCGTCTTAAAACTCTATAAATCGTTTACATACTCCATTTAATGGACTTTACTTCTTAAGCAACATATATATACTTTTTGAAATTACTTTACACATTTTTCAGGCTGAGAAAATAAAATTTATGAAACTAAAGATGTATAATTATTATTATTAGATTTTCTCATTATTTAAATATTCAAGAACAACAGAATCGATGTATTGTCATTTTCATTCGTTAAAAAAGTCTTGCTCGGATAAAAAAGAATTTCGATTTTAGCATATTAATGCGTCTACACGATAAATTTACGTAATGATATTATGGTAAGTAACATATGACGTTGTATCATTACCGTGTACGTTTCAATAAATCAAGTACTTTTTTCATTCAATGATAACATTACAATACTATTTGACCTAAATAAAAGGAATCGTCTCGATGCCTTGTATTTCACTTTTTCCAAAAGCATCAACATAATTCTAGTGAATGTGCAGTAATACGAATCGTCAAAATACATCGTATGAAGTAAAATAATAGCACGCTCAACTTATTCTTTCGTAAGGGTCGATGAGTTTTTGCCCTCGGATATTTCGACCTCGGAGGCGCTCGATACTTTAATCGCTGTGCTTTTACAGGTGACGTCGTCCGGTACAAGAAGAAGTGGTAAACTACCGAGAACCATACAAGTTCCCATGAACAGGAAGCAGATGTTGTAGCTACCGGTTACGTCGCGCATGAATCCTGAAAGCATAAGCATATTTTCTCTTCCATCATTCGGACTTTCATTTTCCTTTCGAAGCAAATAAATAATCCTTAGCTTATTGATGTTTTCTGCTTTTAAGTTAATTGACAATCGCGACAATGAGGTAATAATCATGATGTACAACATTAAAATTATCCACATTTAGTCGATAGTCGATAAGCAAATAGAAAAGAACATTTTATGTAATAACTATGACAAAACTGAATGGATATTTTAATTCAATCACTGATTCATTGAATTATTATATATAAATTGAATATTATTTTAAAGCAAATTAAGTTTCGAATTATAACTGTTTACATAACATTGCATTAAATAACTTAATTTTTATTTTATTCTTTCATAATACGTTTGAATGAAAATCCCAAATATACATGCCAATATAGGAACTAATAATAATTCCCTTAAGATTTTTCAAAATATCAGTCAATATTCAATAGGAATGATTGCTTTATAAAATTCTTCTCGAGCAACATATATAAACTATATTTACAATAATATTAGTATAGAATATTATATTATAACCGATATAATACTTTACTTCACTATAAACTGATATTATATATATATATATATATATATATATATATATAATAGTTTTATAAATATTCATAATTCACTGTGTAATAGGAATATGCATTTATTTTGCTTTTATTCGGTATTTTATAAGCAGAGTTGAAATTTGATATTAGTATTGAATACTTAGTATCAAATCAAATATAATACTATGCATAAAATTTAACAAGATATTGAATTAAAATTTGTTCATTTATGATTATAATTGTCAATGTAAATTACTTCTATTTATTTTATACATAATTTAATTACATAAATATTTTTGTATAAATTTGTTTTTAATATTTTATTATTTATCGCAACTTTGTTGAAATATAAAAAAAAATCTTATTTAAATCCATAATTATTTATCGAGTAATAAAGTCATGGTAAATGATAACACTTTGGCACTATAAAAGTATTACATTATATTCCATCGTCTACATGAAAATTGCTTTAAAACATTATTATAATACTTTAATGAAAGCTCTAGCATTTGATTAGTTAATAAATTAACTTTGCTCTAATTATAAATGAACAAAAGCCACGTAAGGTGATTTATAAATAAAAAGGAAAATGGAAAACAATCGGTAAAATGAATATAGTATCATCGATGAAGACCGATAAGTCCGCTTGGGAAGGTTCGTTTAATTGATTAAAAAAATGTAATTATACTCGCAATGTCTTTTATTTTTCAATACCACTTGGCTCATTGCTAAATTGTTTTCTTATGCAGGCTGTGCTGGAAACATATATAGATCCCCCATTATATTTTCAAATTATAAAAAATCGAAAAATGAATACTGATAGATGAGAGGAAAATTCATTTTCACTTTTATCAGTAGATTAGTAAAAATCGAATATTTAACAAGTGATTTCTGACAATAATTTTTGTAATCATTTATATATATATATATATATATATATATATATATATCTTTGACAAATGTTAGCTTATTTAATTTTTTGCTTTTAATTATCGTTTTGGAAATGATAGTAGATAATGAAAATTCTAAACGTATTTATTATTTTGCTAGTACATTTGTCCAATTCATTTGTACTTGTTTGTACTTTCTACTAGAATTAAACGAATTCACATAAGAAGTTGTTATATAACAATAATTATATAACTAATTAAGCTATTGTCTATTCCAAAGTATAATTATAAAAATGTTCAACATTGCCTACAAAAAGAATTGGAATAAATTTTTAAATACTGTTTTGTTTCTTGTACATCGATAAATTATCGTTTTCAACCATTAAGTAAAACTGTAATCATTTTAATATATCTATTTTACAATTCTATTTACAATACGTAAAACTCAAAATTGTATAATGAGCGTGGAAAATAATGTAAACATGATACATAACTAACATTAGGTTCAAATTACCTGGTAAACAAATTTTATGTCAAAATGAAAATTCTGAATTTATTCTGTTATCTAATATTGTTATAAGTTTACAGTTTAATTTATATACATATATTTTCTTACATAATTCTGTTTCAGAAAATATTCGACATCTACATCTTCGTGACTATTATGCTTTATATACAAATGAGTGATAATTTTACATATTTATTCATTAACAAATTAATAACTTTGGTTAATATTCTTCAAAAGTACAGAATAAAATAGTTTACAACTACACAAATATTTAAATTTTTGGCACACACTGTGCAAGTCATTGGGATTTCCAGTTCTTATTTCAAATAAAACAAGAATTTAAAAGTCAATGTTTCAAAAAACAAACTTTATTATTTATGATCATTTGTAAAAAAAAAAAAAAATTAACTTATAATTATGTTAACTATTTATATGAGAATTATTATTTTACGATCTTCTATACCAATTATCTATTCATTCGTATTCAAAGAGCGTAAACATAATTCAGTTTTATGGATCTAATTTAAATTTCGACAAAAAATGTCTTTACCATTGATGCAATTTTGAATATTTCACATATATTGATGGCAAGATAAAATTTTGCTGTAGATTCAATTAATTTTATAATGATAGAAAATTTAAATGGTCTATACATTATATTTTAATATATTCGTTTATTTAACTTATTATATTTAAAATTATATACTGCAAATTGAATTCAAATTACACGTCTTCCTAATTGTGAATTATTGATAATGTTTTCGGTATAACGAACGTACTTTTCCACTTATACTACCTTTTTCAACAAAAGAATAATACACGAAAATGGAAAGTCTTGAAGCTCGTTGAGAAAGCTTTTTTTACACTACACTCTACTGTAGAAAGATTGCGTGCACTTCAACCTTGTCCATAACTAAAAATACCATTGGGGAGATGTTATTACTTGTAATCACGGAGCTTCATACTGTAATTGTGTGTTGCAGTTTTCATTTTTTTTTTTTTTAAGATATCATACTACATTGATGTGTCACAATATTAATTTTACTCGTGCCTGGTACTGAACAAAAGCTGCGGTTTCTTATTTGTATGTACTGCAGTGTTTTTATATTTTAAATGGTGACAGGGAATAAAGGTTTAACTAGGTATTCTATTTGCCGATAATTGCTAAATGAAAATGTTTCGTGCTGATGTGCAAATTGTTTAAGCTTGTTTTCTAAAATTTTTCAAATATTCGCAAATATAATACATATTTTATATATTAAAATGTACTCCATTTACATTATATCGCGATCTTTGCAATAAATTAAAATCCAATCAAATTAAGATTATATTTCTCAGTATACATACGTTACATAATTTAATGTATATAAAATATTATTAAAGGAAACTATCTTTTTTAAACCAAAATTTATTAATTACAATATCCAAAGAGATAAATCTACAAATTATCGTATCTTTAAATAATTTTTTAATTGACATTTTTCAAAATAAACGAACGTAAAAAGAAAATTTATAAAACACTAATGCATCAGAATTTGCAGAAATAAGTGATGATTTATTCATCATTAAAATAAATTGGTATAAATATTATTATTCATAAAATATTTATAAATTAATCATAAATTAATGCATGCACTATGCTGATAGCAGGAATAATATAAATAAACAAACGACTAATAACTAATTACTAATAATTAATTCAAGTAAAAGAGAAAATATGTATTTAAATATAATTCATTTTAATACGTTCAAAGCCTTATATAGACAGCAATTTTAATTAATTAAATTAAATTTTTTTTTAATTCAATTACATAATGGTTTATAAAAAAAAAATTAGATAAAATGTAGTTGAAAGACTTATTGTACACATTGTCCTTGAAAAATAATAATTAAAATAATTGCTTAAGATAATAAAGATATTAATATAATTTATATACCTTATGATATTAAGGATTTTTAATGTAAAAAGTAAAAAGCTTGATAATCATTTGAAATCTCTTTTTAAGATTATTGTTAACGATTAACTATTACTACTTTCAGATTATTTTTAGTAATGAAAAATAAATATATATTGCCATAATATTTTACACAATCTTTGTGGCTTTTATAATATAAAAATATAAACTTTAGTATGAAATCTGTTAAAAATATTCTAGACTATGGTTTGTTGATTGGCTGAAATTTTTTAAACATAAAAACTGGTTAGAGTTTTGAATGTGTTTTTACTAAATAATATTTATATACGTTCAATATTTACGTCATTCAAATTAAAATTATATTTAAATCAATTTAGAATGTTTTTTATTTAAATATTTCTATATACATAGTTTGTGTGTAAATGAATAATACTCTATTATTTGCTTATTTAAACATTAAATTACAATGTAAGTCTTTATGTATGTGTACATGTAAATTTTCAATAGGAAACAAAAAATATGATAAGTAAAATTTAAACAAAATTTAGATCCCAAGCTTGAAAATTATCTTTTAATTATCCGTATTATTCGAATTGAAAATTATAATATTTATAATATAAAAACAACAAATTTTAAAATAAAATAGCGGACAATTGAAGAGCATAAGTTTGTAGAACACTTAAATAATGTTTGGTAATTTAACATTGATATTTATGAATAAATTACATAATGTATTGTTCACTTTAACAAACAATGAATTTATCGATTACTGAAAATAATTGCTTAAATTATCATACTTGTAGTCGAGTACGCTTGCATCATACTTTTATGATAGTACATATAACATAAGTATATGTAGAACTTGATAACAATGGCTTAAAGAAGCGAATTATATGACTAGAAGACTTCGATTAAAAACATATTTAAGAATATATTAAACAAGGGTGGAGGTAGAATAATAAACTAGTTAATTACGGGAGTAGTAAATTTTAAAAGATATTAATGGTAAAATTGTAAGCTCTGAGCATTTCATTGTCATATTTGAATTTACTTATTTGATGCGATTTGATTTTTGGAAACGTAATATCGTCGCGCACATGGAAGTTGATCAAATTAGATGAAACTCACCGGCGAGGGGTGGAATGGAAACGGCACCAATGCTCTGGAACATTCGCACGAGTCCGTAGCTCGATGATATTTTATCGGTGCCGTATTGGTCGGCTAATAGAACGGGAACCAGAAGGAACCAGCAGCCGAGGCAGAGGCCGTACATACCGACGGAGCAGGCGAGAACGTAAAAGGAATGGGCTAATGGGATCACCAACACTGCCACTCCAGCTCCCACAATACTGAAAGCAAACGGCAGTCAATGTTCCGTATGAATTATTAGGGTGCATCAGCGGTGATTAAGAGGTTTCACGGGCGAAACAGATGTCGACGTACCGCCCTCAAATTCACACTACGCGGGTACATGAATTAGCAAGGAGAGGGAAAAGCGTACAGTGGGGGCAGATGTAGGTGGGTGTTGCGAACCTGCCGATGTATCCTTTCCGGCGATCGAAGAGCTGGAGATCGGAGAGCCAACCAAGGCCGAGTCTACCGCAGAGGTCAAAAGTTGCCGAAATGGCGACGAGGTAGCCGGCTTCGGGCTTGGTGTAACCGCGCGCGTGCACATAAGCCGGCAGATAGTAGAGCATGTAGGGGCTGCCGGTCGACATCAGGGTCACCGAGAGGCACATCATGATGAAGCGCGGCTCCCGCAGCAGCCCGAGCTCGATGTAACGGGTGATGAAGCGCTGGGCGAGAGACTCCTTGGAGGCCGACTGGTCGGCCGTCGTCATCGAGATCGGTGGCTCGGGTTGCGCTTGGCTCTCGGTATAGCTGTCGCGTACCCCAGGGCAGACCGCCAGGGCCGATGATCTGAGAGACCTGTGACCACGAGCGCGATCGTCAATATTACTCTAGAGATAATTTTGGCGAATCGCTCGACCACCTCGCCTCCATTAATTGTCCTTTAATTGGCTTGGCGCGGAGCTTTATTATTTCCCAATAGAAATTGAAATTCGATGATATATATTAATAACACGTGAACAATAAGTCCGAGGAATGCTTTCGTATCTTAAAGTCGAGCGATTAAGTGGCCGAGAAAAATATTAAGCTAAGGGTTTGACATTCGAGCGCACATTCGAGCCCTCATCAACTGCTATAACGTGCGCCTGCATTGCAGAGGTGCTGGATTATTTTCTCTTTCGACTCAACTGACTCTTTCGACTGGATCAATTTAATCGATTAATAGTTATCGATAAATCATTATCCATACAGCTATTGTAAACATCAATCGATATTCTAGGTCCGACGGTAGACTATGTAGCAAATTCGCGTAATTAACATTTACATAGGAATTATCTTATTTCCTAAGAACGTCGCCGATGCCGATTATTTGTACGCGAGCTTAATGAAATAATCTATAGTATATAAAATAGCGGGATAATATGTTGTTGAATTAAGCAGCGATGAAAATGAAAGGAGACCTTTGTGATGAGCGGGATTTGTAGAAGCAAGTTGAATCGGTTGACAAGTCCTCAACGCTGTGTAATATACTCGAGCTGCGTATCTTTGAAATTGGCTTTGTACTCAGTCCCTCTCCCATAATGTCCTTTTCCTCTTCGCTATCTGTCAGTTCGATCGCTAAGCCTGAAATCGAATCGAATGGATTTATGCCTACGATAATTATTAAGGATATTTTAAGAAATTTAAAATTGCATTCAAATTTATTATCAGTACATCAACGCATGCACATTGCCTTTAATGTCAACAATTGTTACATAAATATTTATATGATTTTCTCTCTTTTCTTTTCCTGCTTTTTTTACGACTTTAATATATTCTGACAATTTATATACTCATATTCATGTCCATTAATACGCAATGAATTAATTACTCGAAATATCGTCAATTTTCATTGACCATTTTTCTTTTTTGAAAAACAGTACGTGCGTACACTCGGTCATGAATAATTTCGAAAATCACAAATATAAATTCAATTTCAAATTTTTCTCTCTTAACTTCACCCTATAAGATTCTGTAGATTAAAGGTTATAAAAAATACTTTTAAATTATTGAAATGTACGATGAGAACAATAGTATGACCTTATTGTTTTTCGCGTAAATGTTTGTCATACTTACATACGTAAAAAGTTGTATGCACAATACGACGAAGCGAACAATCTTTATAACTTACTTGGCCAATAATATAAACGACTTTCCATCTTCCAAACCGAAGATCAATTAATAATAAATATCGTATTTCCAATTATTGTGCGTCATGGCCACAAAATTGTCAAGCTCAGCGAATTTAAATCAATCACGTAAAACGGCTCCCCGTAATTAAGAAATGACCGTCACTCATTCATCGCCAAAAAATAATCTTCGAGTCAATTCGCTTGAGTTGGGTTGCAGAGTAGCGCTCGCCACCGCTCCTTGTGGAACGCGATCACGGAATAAAAATAATAGCGACCGAGTACGGAGAGTCACCCAAATCCGCGGACGACTTTCAAATGCCAAAGCTCCCCAGACGATGAGAATTAAGGACGCACCATTGACACGGACGTTCTGGTGGAAGAGCTCGTTGAGCATGTTGTTCTTGGCAATCTGGTCGTGGGCGAAGAGCATCTCGAGCTTCTGCCTGTTGGTAGGGGCGGACACGGGTTCCCTGGGATTCTCCTTCGAGCCGGATTCCGCGTCCAACATCGCCTCCAGGGCGTAGTTTTGCTCGAGGGGCCGGTAGAGGCTCGCGCTCACGCATACATGGAGCATGCAGCCGCCGAGGATGAGAAAGGTGCCGTGGAATCCGAAACTCGCCACAAGGTACTCGATCAGCATGGGGAAGACGATGCTGCCGGCGGCGGTGCCGGACACGCAGATCCCATTGGCCAGGGCCCGATGCTTGTCGAAGTATTGCGACACGAGGATGATGCCCGGCGTTGTCGACAGTCCTCCGCCGATTCCTTTTTTTTTTTTTTTTTACGTCAGAATCTTTTGTTGGAAGTGATATTTAACTTTGCCGCTTCTGCGGCCTCTTTCGCGCCCTAACTCGCGTCTCCACGTTGTCGCATTATCTTATATTTTACTTGTTTGTGCGACTACGGGGTCAGAAATGTTCGAGATCACGCGTCTATTTGATCATCCTACATACTCGTGTACATTTTCAATACATGTGATTTTCAATTCCATTTGATTAATTGTAAATAAAAATATTTTGTTTAATTTTGCAGTATAAAATTTAAACCAAAATGAACATGTTTTTTCCTTCAATTTTTTTAATGTAAAACTATTTACGACTGAAATTCTTAAACGTTATATTATTCCGATGATAAAACAATTATTTCATCTACGTAATAATTTACATTTTAAATTCTTATTTTAAAATATCACGAGTACCATTAAAACATATTCGTACTTATATTCATTGCAATTGTCAGTTTCGTTAATTTGGTTTTATTGAATTTGCTGAATATTTATACGAGACACATAAGTGTCTAATGTAATTTTGAGCGAATTAAGAGCATAAAATAATATAATAATTTAATAAGCTGAGTAATGTGTTGTAATAAACTATGGAGTGGTATTATTATAATCATTATTGGACTTACCAGTCAGAACACCGAAAGTAAAGAAAAGGTGGATCAGGCTTGTAGCAAAGTAACTAATAATCAAACCCAAAGAGCAAAAAAGACCACCAACAAAGACAACAACTCTGCAGCTGTATTTCTGACATAACATACTTGTTATAGGAGCTGAAATCGAAGAGCATTCAAACTTGAATTATAATCACAGTATTTGGATATCATATTTATTTGTACTTAAAAAGGTGTTTAGCAGACTATTATGATTATTATTTTATTCATATTAAACCAATCGACATAAGAGTGAAAAATCCGTAAATCTCATTTAATTAATTTACTCATAGCTTTATGTATTTGGGTAATTTAAATAACGAGTTAGTAATTAGAATTATAGATGGTTATGTCATGTAGTATATGAAAAATCGTGTTACTTCTTTTTTTTCTTGCTTTGAAAATGTTTAAATATTTTATTTGATTAATTTTCTTATTATTATTATGATTCGTTAAAAATACGTAATAGTAAGATTGAAATGAAAAAATGTTAAATTGCATTTAAATTTTAACAAGATCATCTTTTTTATAAAAAAAAAGTATTCGTTAAACAATTATTTCAAACAGAGAAAATGATAATAAAATACAGATGCTTCTCTGTACTTAGATAAATAATGCAAATTAAAATTTATTATTAAAAGATTTAAAATACATTGCAAAGAATTTCAAACAATTTGGAAATCAATTGAAAATACAATTAATTTTTATTTTCCTCAAGTTACTGCTGTACCATAGTTTCTGTACTTTTACAAATTTTTTCATACTTTAAAAACATGTAGATTTGTGCTAATCGTTAAAATATATTTAGTTCCAAATTCGATAATAATATCGGTAAAAACATATATTTTTAAACATTATCTATAGTGTTTAATAAAATTTTTCTATAATAAATACAATAATAAATGTAAAGTATAGTTCTAATTTACTTTAATAATTTTTAAATTTTATTACAATTTTCGCAGAAGTGAAATTTTTTTTCGCACAAGTGAAAAAATAACTTTCTATAAGAATCGAAAAATTAATTAATGTATTTATTAGCGCTTCATTTATGGCCTTACTCCTTTTTTATTGAAAAAGTTACTTTCTGCCGCTGACATTAGCCGACGTCCGATTCTTAAGGTACTTTAACCCCTTGTTTGAGCAGCTTATGCACGCGTACAATATCTAGCGCTGACATAATTAAATTTTACACGAATATAACTAGAATAAACGTGTATTTATGCGCGTATACTTGCCAGTCCATATATATATATATATATATATATATATATATATATGTTAGGAAGGATGAACAAGAATATATGCGCGTGGATATTAATAAAGTCTTTATTATTGATTTAATCAATATTAAAACGCTCTGACACTTGTTGGATTTCTCGGCTAAGTATATTAAGATATTTCACTCCTTATTTTACAATTCTTTTCATCAATCCTTAATGTATTTTTATTTTATCTCTAATAACTTATATTGCATTTTATGTAGTAAATTTATATTTTTCAAGCTAAAGGTTATGCAATTCACAAGATTGACTGTTATAATTATATAATTAATCACATATTTTAAAAGTGTGGTATGATACTTTTAATATATTGTCTTGGTATATAAATTTTCTTTGATATTATGCAATAACAGTATGCAACAAAAATTTATGTATTTGTTGAAAGGTAGTATTTGCCGATTAAAATAATGTTATTGTTAATATTATAAATTCATTCATTCATTTGTGCAAAATTCTTAAAATAACAAGTATAAAGATATTAATGCATTGTAAATTACAAATATTGAGTTAAACCCAACAGAACACATTTTTTTTTTTAATGTATTGATGTTAGAATTTAATTTCACTACATTTATGAAATATTTATCAATAATAATTGCAATTAAATAACGTATATCATATTATCATGTAAATATCATAGATATTAATCCACCTTAGAAATATTTTTACTTCCTATTATTATTCTTACTTTCATTTATGAAAAAGACTCAATATAAAATAATAATTAAACAATGATAAAACTTTTCATTTTATTTAAAGAAATATGATATAGAGAAATATTTAATCTACTACATAACGTTTTATCAACATTTATTTCAAAGATAGAAAACGATATTGATTTGAAATTTATTTACATAAAACATTAATTGAATTAAATTTTGTACTTATATTGTTTTATTTATAGCAGTATAAATTCCAGCATTTACACTTCGAAAATAATAGCGTATTCTGATAAGCATCTGTCAATACGTTATTAAATAAAACTTCTGTGACTAATTACAAAATTATTATTTGTGCACGATTATATATTTTTCATTTTACATCAAATCATATGTAAAATTTTTATGAATATATTACTATTATTATTATAAAATCATCTTTAAATTAAAATTTAATTGTACATTAAATATCAGATTTAGATAAATTTAACAAACTGAAATATAATTGAAAAATTAAAAGTATATAATAAAGTAAAAATAAATTCTCGCGTTAAAACATTAAAGGTTATTTTTCATAACCCTTAGCAAGGTAATCCCAATAACTATGCTCCAAGCGAAATCAATATATGTCTAATAACAGCTTTCTATTGTAAAATAATCTATTAAAATTTTAATTTATTATCGGTTCTATCTATCACGAAAATTTATAAAGTTTGTTTTACTCTTGCAAATTATATCCAGTATATATGTGTTCGTATACTTTTTTAATTTAATGAAATATATAAACGGGGTAAAATAATCATACAACTAAAAGGTATTTTGACCTTTAACTGATTAATCCTTTAAAAGCATAGATAACAAATTATTATTTATTTTGGAATTAAATATTTAGTAATATTAACATAGTTTTTCATGATTAAAGATTTTATAGCAACTCAATTTAGCCACTTATTACATACAAAATATAAGAAGAATAGTAAATGAAATGAATCTAAATTCAAATATCGAGCATCTATAGTTTGTTAATGCAAATCTATTTTTCACAATATCTTTAAAAATATTTTTTCCATTTTAAATTATTTACATATACCATTTTAACTTTTTTTTCTATGAATATTCTTTTTTCGTCGTATGATGTTATCTCAAAAATGAATGTCAAGTATTCCTGAAACAATTTTTCTTCTTTACTTTTATTCAGAATTTGATAATTTCAGAATAATATTGAACATTCAACATATACCATTGAAGCAAAAGCAAATTTATTGAATATTCTAACATATTTGAAGATAAAACGAGAACAGTAAAAGAATTCTCTTCTAAGGTTTTGTATCTTATAATGAAATAACATTCTACACTAATACAAAAAAGAACTTCAAATACAAGTTTTTAATAAGTTTCAGGTATTTTTAAATTATTTGTTATTAAAATGATAACAATCGTTCATAATAAATTTTTTATTGCTAGCTGAATAAATTAGTTCATTAGTATATTACAATGATATCTTTAATTTATTAATATAAAATCATATCATAAATTCAAAGTAGATTTATTGTAATATTTTAAAATACGTACATTAGTAAATACCATACAAAATAAAATTGATAATATTTTTTCATTTTATGTAGTTATACGTATATAACATTAATTAAAATTTTATATTACAATATAAAAAATATAAGAAAATTTAAGAAAAATGAATATAGACGCTTTTATAAATACTAATGGTAATAATAGTAATAATAATAATATTAAATTATTAATTTGAAACTTCGTGTAAGACTTGTAGAAATCAATCATTTTTCGGTCTATAAGTACTTATTTATATTTGAACAAATTCACAAATTGACTCAATTTTTTCATATCTACATGATATTTTATAAACTCATCATTATCATATATTATTTTAAGAAGATAAAAGGGTAATAATAGTCTTTTCATCCATTTTCAAATTATAGAGTTTATAAAAATTGATGTATTTCAGAAAATCGTTGAATTATTTTTTTTTTTACTATTAAGAAAATTATATTTTAAATATAATGTGAAAAATATTTCTTAAAATATATGTACAAACTTACTTTGAAATTAAATGTTTAAATTAAATAGACTTTATACTAATTCCACTCATAATATAAAAAATTCATTTTATCTTTAATATTTTTAAAATTTTAAAAACATTATTTATTTCGCATACATTTTACTTTTAAACTCTTTATTATATTTTCTAATAAAATTACATATTTCAAATTTATGTATTACTTTAACTTTTATTTCCCGTATTATATTTAAAAATAATAAAATACTTAGACATAAATTAAATAATGTTACCAATTTATACATTCGGAAATACAAAAAAAATTAAAAGTCCTTTAATAAAATTATTCCATAAGAAATATTGGAAACAATAAATATCAATTAACCACTTAATTAATAGTATGATTATGTTTATGTTTATGTTACTATTTTTGCTTATCTATCTATTTTTTTTTTAATTTTATTGCAAATATTATTTAATGTATTAAAATAAACCTCGACCTTGACCTCATCCTATGACTAAGACTATCACGAGTGAGTGTCCTTCTGATTAGTTGGTTAATTTAAGAAATTTTCATTTAAATTGAGTGATATGTGGAGAACCACAGCTACTTATAATTAATGTTTTCTCCTACTGGACGGGCAGCTACAAAAAAAGATCAAAGGCAAGCTAGAAAAAATTGAAAATATAAAAGTACTTTTTCATGAAAGTTTTCCAAACATTATTACGTGGAATATTCATTTTATTCATAATATTGATGTTAATTTTATATTCTGATCATAATTTTTAGTTTATGTTAATAATTCAACTCTATGATTTATAAAAAAAAAACTATTAAATACGCTAATTAACACAGTTAAACATTTTTAATAATTATATCTTTTCTTTATTGTTCAATAATTATATATGAGCAGAAAAAAAAATATTGTTTTCATAAAATTATAGACATAATAATAATGAATTACATTCATTTTTATAAAATTTTTATTTAAAAAATCTCATTAAATTATAATAATTTACGATAAATTACGTGTTATGATGATCAGTAATACTTTAGATGATGTGTAAATTATACTTCGAGTTGACAAATGTTAATAAAAAATTAAAGTTAAATTTATTGACGATTGAAATCGGAGTTACATCTTCAAT